CTGATCCTCTTTGATAAATAATCACTAGAATTATTTCTCTTCCAGTAATTCAGTGTCCACAGAAGCTTCCAAATGTAATCTAACACTCCTCTTGTCTGGTACATGCAAGCCTTGCTACTTCCTCTCTGCTCAGGCCAAAATCGAGGACACGTGTCACTAGATAGGCTATTTTTCATATTTTGCACTCTTGCAGAGTCTGCAGCCCCAGGAACCATGTCACTATATAAGAAAAAAATTAAAGTAAGCATTTTGCTTTGGTAATTAGAGAGAAAAATATGGCTAATTGCCCAAATATATTTTAGAGTTTACAAGCCAAAGGATATTTATCCCAAGTGTATTTGTTTAGAAAAAAAAAATAATTAAGGGAGTTTAATGATTTGTGAATGTTTTGCCTTTGTGGTATCACAATTCCCAAACCTGCAATACAGAGTGCAGAATGGTAGTTTGGAGGAAGCTTTGGAATTAAGAGGGACCATCCTTGGGCAAGGTCCAGGCCCTAGGGAGGAGCAAGGTGTCCAAACATGTCTCCCGCTGGCTCGTTCTCCTGTGTATTCCACCCACTGTGCCACAGAAATAACAGATCTCCTCCCAAAGCGACCGACACAGGTCTGTCTCCTTTCCAAAGAGGTGAAGTGTATGTACATATGGTGTTCTTTAAAGATCTTTTTAGGCTTTAGAAAGTAGCAGAAGGGCAGTTTGACCGGTGGTGTCTCTCTGCCAGAGCTGCGACACCCTGTTGGACCCTGCAGAATTTCATGGCTCTGAAAGGCCTGAGCGAGCCCGGCATAGCCTTGCGCCATGCTAATAGCTTTAGAGCATAGCGACATTTTCACAGGCCTGATCCTGCACCTGCTGGAGTAAACAGCAAGCTTCTTATCACGTTTGTATGACTGAAGTTTGCTCTCCAGCGTAAATGCTGATCTGATCCGCAACTGAAAGCAAGATGTCGAACAGGTAATGAGGGCAAGAGCTGGAGGTGGGATAAAACCTGTGTGACTCAGGGCCGTCAGAGAAGAGACTCAGCACAGTCTACCTTACTCTGGAGTCACTCAGAAACAAGCTTCCTTAGGGCCTGATTCTGGCAGTGATGAGACATTTGGTCACGATGTAGAAATGAAGATGAGGGGAGCTGGGGTAAATACCTGTGCTCTGGCTAGCGGCTCTCTTCCTGCCTCTACTTCCAGCATAGGACTGCCTTCATTCAATTTCTCCTGGAATATGCCCTCCATAAGGTGACAACTGGGAGCTGAACAAAGATCCATTGCAGAAACAAACTCATACATTTCTACATCTTTCTAAAACAAATAGACAAACACAGCTATCTGAATGATGCAGGTGACTTCTGCATTATTATTCCTTCTTGAGTCATGTAGAAGTAACAGCTCAAACATAGCCCAGGGTTGAAGAGCAGTCCTTCACCTCCTCACATAGGCAGGATTGGCAGTGTTTTAATCATCTTCCTCCACAGAAGCCTCCCAAGCTGCAGTAACTGAAAACCTAAATGAAGTCTTCAAAACCTGTTAAATGGGGTTTGCAGCAATCTCATTTGACAGGCTCTGTGTTGGGCCAGGCTCTCACATGGTACCCGTCGCTTTGATGGCTGTCCCAAATGGATATCAGCAGAGGGTCTGGTCCCCCATATTTCTGTTTATGGAGGTAGCCTTTCGGAGCTAAACAGCTAGAGTGGTTGGGGAAGGAAAGGAGGACAGCAGTTCTGATCTGTGGATGTCCATTCTTGTTGTGAAGACTAGCCTGTTCTCCCTGCCCAGAAACGGCAGTGCTCTTGCTGCCCCTTAGTTCAGGCTAAAGTTACTTACAGCTTCTCTGGGGTGAGCAAGTGCAGGCATCCGGGATGTTCTGAGCTTTGGCCAGCCCTGCCTTGCCTGGAAGCTCCTCAGGCACCAGAGCCACTGAAACACAGATTTACTGGCTCAGGCCACAAACCCAGCAGGGGCTGATCTTAGATCAGTCACAGCAGTCGCAAAGTCTGACGTCCTCTTAACAGCCTGAATACAGGCCATTAAACAGAATATATTTCAGCTACTCCCAGCCTAGCAATTATCAAATGCACATAGCTGATCTCACTGCCTGAACTCAAAAGAAAGAGTAGAGGTGCTGGGCCCTTCCACAGCTGGTGAGTTCTGGTGCTCCCTGATGTTTGTGAGTTTTCTCATTAATTTCAAAAGTGATGGGACAATGCACAGCAAACTTTGCCTGGTTGCTGCAAGTGCCAGGTGTGAGTAGAACTGGTACCAAAACCACCCACGCGTCACCCCTGATTTAATTCTGGCGCTTGCACCTTCTGAATGAGTGAAACGTCATTGCTATAATATTAGGAAGACTTGCATGTTTTATACTTCGATCTAATTTAAAAAATGCATCCTATACAAGAAAAGGCAACATTGGCAGCTGTGTATGAATTACGTAGGAGTGTGTAAAACTGGAGTATGGAAAAAATGAAACACTATCTCATTCTGTTTCTAAAATTTCTTTCAAGCTAGATGATCACACACAGCATTTTTCATCCCTCTTTGCACTGAAAAGTTCGGTGAACAGTGATCCTTCTGCAGTATGACAGTTTTGCAAAAGTATGCAGGTCTCGGGGTTCTGCATTTCCTTGCAGTAAGTTTATCCCCTTGCTTGGGAATTAATTTAGTTCCTCTCCTGCTCTGTGCAAGCGTTCTGCATATTCCTGCACAGATTTAATGCCAGACAGTTGCAATAGGCCCAGGTGTTTCACAACTGCCTCCTAAAAGGGACAATGTAAAATTCTGCATATATAAACCCCAAAAGAGAGAGTGATAAGAAGAACAGAGTGAAAGAGACCCGGCTGCTGCATTGCTGAGGATGTTCCTGAGCTGAGGTTGCTGAGCTCCTTCCCATGTAGCCGGAGCAAAGCCAAGGAGAGACCCTGATTAGCCTCTTTTATTTTTGTAGGCTGAAATCTTTATTTTGAATGCTGTGCAATCCTTGTTTATCAACCTTCCCTTGATTCTACACCAAAGAGGAAGAAGCGGACAAGAGACTTGTCAAGCTGTCTTTCCTGAAGGGGCTGCCTTCACATGTAGCCTGAAGCTGTCACTGTGAATGCGCTTGCCTTCACTCAAGGGAATGACATAGTCTGACACTCCTGCTCTTTCTGTTTTCTTTACAGGATAAATGATTCCATGCTGAAATGAGGGCAGAAAAGCATATAGATGTAAGCCAGGAAAAAAAATGCCAGTGAGACTGCAGTGAGGACTGGCAGATCCTCCTATGTCTTTGTTTTACAGTATAACCCTGAATGTAGCTCCCTGCTCCGGTACTTCCTCACACTGCCTTTTGCAATGATCATGAAACCCCTATGCTGTAGTAAAAAAAAAAATCCATGTATGATCCACATGCTATTGGCCATATCAGTCTTGGCTTGAAGTCAAACAGCACTAGCACAAAACGGGCCAGAATGGCCGCGCACTGCTATGTTATTGGAAGGAAGAGCCATCACTAGTGATGTACCGTAAGTACAGATAGAAATTGTATTATATTAAGCTGGCAGTAGTTTCCAGGTAGAGCTGGAGTAAAGTTAGGATAGGATAACCTCCCATGCATAAAGGCAGAGACCAAAATAACCTGGCTTTGTGTGAGACTGAGGGAGAGGAGCCCAGCTTGTAGCCTTTCGGCAGGGTACCAGGCTTTATGGTCTGCTAGTCTGGCTCTGGGACTGGAAAACAACTATCATCGATTTGTTTCTCCCTGTGTAGCTAGACTTCTCTTCCCGTGGCTTCAGATCCACTAGCTTTACACATGCCAGCAATAGCCCGCTGTAACTCTTCTCTGCCCGGAGAGAGGGACTTCACCAGAATCTGCTGACCAGCAATTTTCCACTCAAGAAAACGCCTTGAAAGATGTGAGAAGGAGGGCCGTTTTCTCCTATGCTCTTATCATGCACCGCCTAGAAAACTTCCAACTCAGCCCTACCAAACCGAAACGTCCCCAGAGGAGCTGTAGCTAGCGGAGGCGGGTGGCTCACCAGCCCCAGACTGCACTGAGGGTTGCACGCTGCGGCAGCGCGGCTCGGCGATGCCACCCGCTGGGCAGCACGGACCGGCCCAGGCCCCACACCAGGAGCCGGCACCCCACATCGCTGGTGGGGTACAGTTCAGCTGAGGGTGCTGGAGGAGATGTGCCCATTCGCTCCCAGACCTTCCCAACATACGCACCTGTCCTTGTGTCCCCTTTTCTATCGCATCCCTGTTCAAAATCTCTTTCTTACAGTTTCCCCTGCCTGTGATCTCTCTTTCAGTGCTGGCATGTCAAATCCCATTTCTAATTAACAGCTCATGATCACAGTGTGGGAAA